ACCTCTCTATATGTTGGGCATAAGATGCAAAGTTATCAAATATTAGGCCTTGATTGTCACATTTTTCATTGAAAATGTCACATCTAAAGAAAACAAATTCCACTTTGACCTTTTAATTGCAACATAGAAATGAAAATCGAATTCCAACGTACAACTACTTTAAACTGCATTTTCTTTTTGTTTTCATGGAAAACGAATTTCTATAGATTTTGTGAGTTTTTATTTTCCAACTAATATGAAATTGAAATTTTTTTTCCACATTTACCTATCAAACGAACTCTTATGGTCCGTTTGATTGCAATGGTGGCAAATTGGTGGAAAGAAAATGAATTCCAAGAAGAGTAATTGCCTAGAAATTGTTTTCTAGGGAATTGTTAATTAAGTGTGTTTGATTGGTATAATTTTCTACCTGAAAAATTTTTAAATTTTATGTTCGTTTGACCTTCGTTTGCATCGAAATTGTCCATTAAAGTGATATTTTTTTTTTCCACACTTGATTATAAAATTTGTTTTCATTGGCAAAAAGTAAAAAAAAAAAAATTCCTAAAAAATCATTTTTTTATCAAAATTTAGTGTCCGTTTGACCTTCATTTGCATCAAAATTGTCCATTTTTTTTTTTTACATTTGGTTATGAAATTTGTTTCCATTTCAAAAAAAAAAAAAAGGTCAAAATTGACGGCAGAGGCTGGAGGTGAGAATTGGTTTTCACCAATTTCAGGGAAAACTAGACGCGTAGCCTCCAGCCCAGAAAATCTTTTGCCAATTAATTATTGTCAATCAAACATGCATTTTTTCAAAAAGATGGAACATGGTTTCCAATTCTATTGAAAAGGAGCACTATCAAACAGGGTCTTAGTGTTTTCACGAGGCAAAAGAATTAGATAATCAGCCGTATGTGGGCTTCAATTAGGTCCAAGAAGTTCTTAGCAAAAATATCTTGGGCCACTGAAGAGTCGACTAATTGAACCTGCAAGGCCGAAGGGTCTTGGGTTTCAAAGGCAGAAATTACCCAAGCAATGGATAGACCAAGAATGACAAGTTGAACCT